CTGTGTTAGGGCTGGAGATGATGTAGAAAGTGTTACTCCAATCTTTCCATTTATTCTCCTTCCCCACAGTCATTAGATAGCCTTTGTGGCTAGACAGCTGATACCAGCCGGTCCCGCTTGTCTTTGGGGTCCGGCTGAGGTAGTTCATATGGGCGAATGCCTCAAAGCTTGGTTCTACCTCATGCATCTCACAGCCGGCAACATAGCACAAGATGTTGAACCAAGAGTTAGGAGCTAGTTGCCAGACACCTAGCTGGTATCCATCCAAAATCCTCTCTACAGTCGGATGTAGAGGAAATCTCAGGCCAGCCTTAATTGCCGCCTCATAGCAGCCAAAACAGGCGTCCCCATAGCAGCCAAAGCAGACTACCGTGTCCTCGGCATCCGGCGTGCAGATTACATACCCATGTCCCATGACATGTTCAATTCTGAAGCTCTCCATTTTTTCAGCCATCACCTTCCGCTTGCCCTTTGGAACATGATGATAGTAGGCGGTGTATTGCTCTCGGTTAGAAGCAGATGGCTCCACCCAGCTTGGTCCCAAGTCTACTGAAAGGGACTCTCGCGCAGTCTCTAGCCGAGAGTGCCTCTCTTCAGATTCATTCGAAACTCTGTTTGAAGTACTTGGCTCAGAATCGCTATCTGAGCTCTCAGATGAAGGGTTTGCCTGTCTGGCAAGATCAACAAGCACTGGCATAGCATTTTCAACCTCTTCCCTTGATTCGTTTAAAATGGAATCACTAGGGGTACTTGGGGCAGGCGGCACGTCAGACAACTCGCTGACAGGCGCATGGAAATAAGAGCCGTCTGAATTGGTCACCCTTGTTATTCTTTTAGTTCTGGCCATGGTATCCTGCACAGGCACATAAACAGTCGAACTTGGGGCATGCAGTTCGCAAAGGGTGATCCAGCAAGGGGCATTCGGCACTCCTAGTTCTAGATTCAGCCGTCCCCGGTGACCGGCTGATCACTAACCTATTCCGTGCCGTGTGCTTTTGGGAAACCATTTTCAAAAAGAAAAACAAAGTATGAAAAAATAAAAAGGAATAGACGGTTACCTTTACTTGATGAAGATGAAGGTACTCGAAAGTCAACAACGGCTGTAGGAGCAGGTGGTCTGTAAAGCAGGCGGTCTGGTGCAGTCGGTAGTTCTCTCTCAGAAAAAGACAAAGTTCCCTGGAAATTTTTTGAAATGTCCAAACAAATGATTTGGACACATCCCCTATTTATAGGAGGGTGAATTCCAAGAGACAGTAAAAAAAAATAAAAAAAAAAGATAAAAATCGTTAGCCAGTCATGGCGTGACACCTGTCACAGGCGCCACGTGGCATGCCACGTCACCCCTGTGAGAGGTAAATGATTAGGGAATTTTTCCCCGCCACGTGTCACCTCGTGAGAGGTCCAAGGTGGACCAATCAGGTCACGACACGTGGCAGGCAGAATTGCCAACTAGGAAAGTGGCCTTCTATGGCCCAAATTCCTAGGCAAGGCCTAGTCAGACCTAGGTTTACTAAAACCTAGTACTGGGCACGTTTTTCCAACACCCTATACAAGGGAGATGTTTCCCTCTGAGGAACATCTATTCAGAAATATTTAATTCACATTAACTCTCCATCAGAGAAAGTCAGACACCTGACACCTCGAACTTACAAATTGCAGATACTCTCTTGGAATCCGAGAGAGACTTTACTTTTCGCACTTTACTCCTCATACACGTTCTAACTTGATCGTCGGAGGCGAAGCTCCCACCCACCGAAGTCTCCGTTGTTTTGCAGGTATAGGCGTCCAGAAGTCAGTCTTGGAATTGTAAATCTCCCGAAGGACATCAAAAAAACCCCGAAATAGTGAGTAATTCAATTATCTCTTTAATTATTCTTTGATTTTGGAGTAGAAATCATGCTTAAAATATTGTTTTAATTCCTAGTATCATGTTAAGATGTTTTTATGATTTCTAATATCATGTTTAGGATAATTCTTTGATGTGATTATTAGTGACATGCTAGGGTTTGTTATTAATCTTTTTAGTATCATGCCTAGGATCTTACTTTTGATGTTTTTATGATGATAATTATTGTATTAATCATATGTTTCTTGATTATTCATGATTTATTGTTATTGCTTGATCATGCCCCTCTCTGCAGGTTTAAAGGGAATTTGTACTTGAAATCACGCCTAATAAGATAATTAATAATTTGATTTAAGATAATATGATTTTAATTCAAGTGATCACCAATAATAGATTTGATTGTGCATTATTAATCACCCAACATAGATTAAACAGGTTTAGGATTAACTAGATGTATGTATGTTGATCAAAAAGCGCACATGAATATCATAAAAATTAAGTAGAGGCCTATTTAATGCGGGTTTATTCTCTTTTAGGTTGGATCCGTACCATCATCCCCGAATATCCAGTCATGGTTCCGGACCACTATGGAGTTAGCGATCTCTGTGATCGTGAATGGGGTGTAACCTTCACACCCGTGAACGGTTTACAAGTTCCTATAACTTGTTGGCGACTCTTTTATCTCTAGCTTCCTTCCCTTTGGACGCCATCATGCCTAAAAGCATGAACCACAGTAGTGCTCAATGATGAGTTAAAAAATTCCCTACAGTTTTTGGCAACTCCACTAGGGAGGATTTCTAAATTGATTTCTAAATTTGTTTTAGCAATTGATTTAGAATGAGTGGATGAGACTTGAAAGATTATAGATATTCATGTGCGTAATTTTTATTAACATTGTGGCATAAGTATAAAAAGGTTCGCATTGGAAAGACAATCCGTAATGCTTCAAAACATAGGACATACATGTAGAAAAGGCCGGAAATATTTTTCACAACTAGAATCGAAAAGAAGGTACGAAAAATCGGGAAAAACATCGAAAATTGAAATTTCTTTCATCCACTAGCTGCTCCCTTATAAAGAGCATGAAAAGTGAACTCAATCAACTTTATTTTGTTCCTAGGATCCATTACCGCAACCAGATCTATCAACAAATTAAGGTCACCTCAATACTTGTCAAATTTCTTTATTATTTTGAGTGCCATTCTCTTCATATCAACATCATCAAAATTAGTATTTTTCATCCAATGTCTTCTTGATCATTGTGAGCTCGGGAATAAATAAATTAGACGTAGGATACTCACTACCTAAATTAGAATAGAAGTGTCATTTATAAATAATAGAATAAATTATAGTTAACAATGCAAGAAAATTAAATTAATAGAAAACATACAAAAGGAGCAACGAAAGCTAAAAATACAAAAGGATAATATGAACATACTTGATTTTATATGAGCGATCTCATTGAATATCTCAAGATAAGCGAACGCCTTTTAAACCATCTTCCAATAATTACTAGAAGGATGATTCTTGTAAGATGAATCTTTCTCTTGTTAACAAGGAAAAGCATCTTTATGCTCCAAACCACAGCACGTCATCTCATAAGTAGAGTTTCATCTCTTACCATAATCCAATACTAAATTTTTACAAGGAAGGAACATTTGTTTAGCCTTCTCACTAAACATTTGGATTCTATGTGGATTCTGCCACATAATGAATTAAATTCTCAATTTCATACAACCCATCTTGGATTAATATATTCAAAATAAATGCACAATAATGAACATGAAATAATTTACCATCAGAAGGCAATTTTCCCAAGTATGAAAGATTCTTTTTATTATCTTTACCACTACATCATTTTAAGTAGCATTATCCACTGTAACACTTGCTTATTTTTATTCTAAACCCCTATCCTCTTATCATTTATAAAGGGTATCCGAAACAACAATTCCATTATGAGAGGGAGGTACTTCAACAAAGTTTAAAACCAACCCTCCTATGTGTGAGGAGGGTAGCCCGTCGTTGGGGATCCCACTTCCTCTATGCCCATAGCCCTTTAAAAGCCTAGGATTTTACACTTTTGAAAGTGTGTTAGGATTCGAATTCCTAACTGTTTAGGGGACCTTAAATTAGAATTGATTCTATTATTACGCTTTTTTGTAAAAAACTAATAGGGAGTCGTCAATGAGTTTTAGGAAAACTCATAAACCTCGTTCATGCCTTTCTCCCAAGTAGAGTTCAAGGGATATTTAGCATGAATTATAAGTTTACCCATGCCCAAATTGGTCTACTTGTACCAGAAATGAGTTCGGGAGCAAGGGCACTAAAATAACGTTCTCTTGTACTATTTTGCTGAAATCATTTGTTATTTTGCTAAAAGATTATTATGTTACCTTTACATTAACTTTGTGTTATTTTGCTTCAACTTTTTGTGTTTTTTTTTTTCAAAGGTATGTTATTTTAACACAACAATATGTTAATATCCCTCTTCGAAAAAAAGAGCTCAATTAATTTTCAGTAAATCAATTTCTACGTCAAATTTTGTCTGAAAATTCTCATAAATTTGTTCAATTCTTTTTCTCTTCTTAAAATAAAATCATCTTCATTTAAATTGCCGTTCAAATTTCATCAAATTCTCACAAATATAAAACACTCAATTAGATTTTTAGGGTTTTAATTTTTCTAATTTTGGTAATTTGAACAATTAGCTCTTCAATTCAACAAAATTTCTTAATAATAGACTGATTGAAGAAAATAGATCTTGAATGTTGCAGATGAATTATGAGATTATTTGAACAATTTTGAAAAATAAAGTAAGACAAAGGAAGAGCAAGAGAACAAAAATAGTGGAAGGTTTTTTTTTTTTTTTTTTTTTTTAATTAAAACGCTAGCGTTTTGACCCCTGGAGTACCATGCTAGGAGTCCTGTAGAAATTGTGTAAATTAACATCGCTGGCTACTGCCTTGGATCAAGCTTATCACCAAACTGCTTTGAAAAGCGTAATAATGAAATCATCAGATATACATGTACTACTATTTCCTAACTTACGTGGCTTGCTAATAAATTATCACCAATATATTACAACCGAATTCACCATCAAATCAAATCAGATAATACTAATTTTAAATTTTTTTTTAATTTAAAATCAATTTCCCGTAATAATTTTACCAAATAAAGATATTTTATCATACAAAGCGCAGCGTTATTTTTGCATTTCCGCACACGACACCTCCATTAAAACACACATCTGAATTCTCAACTAACTCCATTAATCTCATTACACTCTTCAATTAAGCTTTTTGAGGAGAGAGAAAATTGTGTGAACGAAAATGATGAAGGGTAGAACAACAATGGAAGTCGGAGCTGATGGTGTTGCTGTAATCACCATTATCAATCCTCCTGTTAATTCTCTTTCTCTTGATGGTATTCTTTCTTTCTTTCTCCTCGGATCTTCGTTGTAATTTGATTTTTTAAGCTTTTGGGGTGTGTCGATGTTGTGAAATTTGATTGATTTTGCTTCGCTTTTGATCGCCTGATTTATTTTATGTTCATATATGTATTTTTTATTTTTTTATTTTTATTTTTATTTATTTTTTTTTTAAAAATTAATTTTTTGTGATTGTTAGGGTTTAAGTGATTGAATTGGAGTGTGTTTTAAAGGGAATTAATGAAGTGGTCTTATATGATTTTTCTTCGTTTTTTAAAATAGTATTGTATTGATTTTTGGTACTCCGTACTATTTACATAATCCGTTTAGCTTGATTAATTATAAACATGAAATAATATAGGCGTATGGAATCTTGTTAGATTTGTTTTATTATAAATTTTCTAGATATCAATTATTTAAAAATTCTATGAATATACGTAGCGAAAGTTATTGGTTCAATTATAGAGATGCGTTAGACAAATGTGTCAAGTGAATATTGCAAAGCGGAAAAGAATAGAAGAAGTAGCATAAAGAGTGTATACATTTGTTGAAAATTATAGGCATTCAATTCGTAGTGAATCTAAATTATTTTTAATTTCAAACTTGGCCATTATAAGGCTAAGTAGGTTAGCTAATTGTTGTCATAACCGAGTATATCCGTTGATCAGATTTAATTCCTAAGTTTCCCATTGTAATTTTTGGTACGGCATTTAGCGGTTGGAAAATTTGGAAATTTTAGAGAAGTATGAGGCCAAGTATTATACTGGCCAGCTGACTAAAATGATTGTTCCTACTATATAATGGTGGAAAACATGGCTGAGAGTCTGAGACCTTGAACTGTTTTCAACATTGTCATGTTTTTGCTGGGTACCAAATAAAGATCTTTAGGTTTTGTTTGTTTTGATAGGGAAATGATTCTCCATTGAAAATAATTTTTCAAGGGAAAACACCAATTTGAAAATGGTTCTCTGTTATTTGTTTCCTTACAATAATACTTATAAAGGAAGAGGAAAATGAGTGTATAAAGAAGATGTATCAGAGGAGAGGAAATGGATGTAAATAGTATGGAGGAAAATGTGGCATAGCTTCATTTTAAGTGATAAATGTTTTCGATTCTTGGGAGAACTAGTTTCCTTCTTTGGGAAATTTGTTTTACCCTTTACTAACCAAACAATGCAAAATGAGAAAATTGTTTTCCTTGAAAATGTTTTGTATCAAAACAAACGAAGCTTTAATGAAAAATTTCTCGTGCATATTTGGGGGCGACATAAATAAACTGAAGATCGGTTAGGATTCTGTGGGCTTAGGACAATGATCAAAGAATAAGCAACTTAGTATTATCCATTGAGAATGAAAGAAATTGTTATATGTGCATGTGTTCTAACACTTGCTGTTATCGTTTACTCTGTGACTTGTTGATGTGTTATTAGGTTTGTACTGTAGCAGCTTAGAAAACAGCTGGAGGGCTGAGCTAATGGTTTTTTATTTGGTGAAGTTAGCTTGGGATGATGTGGGTGACTGGCTTATTGCTATTGAATATGGAATGATTTGGGTGACTGGCTTATTTCCAACTTTTAATGCTAGGTTTGTAATGTTATATGATAGCATTGACACAAGATTTCGACATGCTATATTGATGTTAATTGTAATATGCCATTAACACTGAAGCAATGCATAATATGGACATTGATGTTGGTTAGTACGACAAAGTAATGATATGCATGAACTTCAACTCAAGGCATTAAGTAGATAGGGATTATGTGGATGTCCATAGCGCTACTTGAAATGCTGTGAGAATGGATAACATGGTCCTGTTCCTATAGCTTTGTTTTCACCAACCAAATATCTTTGATGACCTCACTTCAATAAAGCATTGTGCAGAATTTGATTAACATGGTCTTTAGTTAAAATGTCCTCCACAACGCTAAGGATAAATATTCGATAGAGTATCTTCACCTTGAAGGAAATATAGAGAGCCAAATTAGCACCAATTAGTTTGATTCCCTTCCCTCCACTCCTGTAGAAGACAGAGATGAGAGTGGAGTTTGTAGTCTTTACTCTTTTGCCTAATCTTTATGTACTTAATAAAGAATATGAAGAGGCTTTTGTTTATCATTATCACAACCTGTGTTTGATTTTCCCTGGTTCTGACAACTTCCATTGTCTAACTGCTTCGATCAAGTTTTTAAACCTCTTTCAACCACTTCATATGGTGTTAGTGTTGGAGAAAGGTTATTATCAATCATCATCTTGACTCTTTACTCTTATAACTATGAGTATGCTACCTTTGGACCATTCTGGTTGGTGGGCCTTTCCTTTAGATTTAAGGGTATTAACCTCTAGTTGTGCCCGTAAGTCCCAAATATAAAAATGAGTCTAACAGCTTTGCATTGGTATGTTGTTGTTTAGCATGCACGAGTCACAATATTTCGAGACTAAGTGTTTTCTGTTAGAATCAAGCTCAATATTAGTTTGATTTCAACAATAGCGAAGCATATAATTGTATAGAGCTCAATATATTGAGAAGAAGAAATTAATTTTGGTTAAAAAATATTAGGAAATATTAAGGGAACTTGATTTATTAATACGTATTACTTAATAGGTAATCTCTCTCTCTCTCTCTGCACTTTTTAGTTATTAATTTATTTTTTATAAAGTTATTTACATTGACTTGTACGTTTGCTAACACACAACTTTGAATATTAATATAATTAATCAATTTTTAATGTATATATACTATTGTGAAATTTACATTGAGACAAATAAAAAAATTATATGATAGTGTTGTGAATAGTGTCAAAGTTAAATTAGAATAACTAATAAATTACAAAGTGAGTAAATATGTTGATCTCATTTCCGTTAGTTAGGTTATTGACAATGATTGTGACTTCTGCAACATACATATATTCTTTGGTTTCACACATAAAATGTATTGATTATAAACTCTTCTTTGAGATTAGACGCGAGATGGTTTGCTAGTTGCTGATCATTAATATCTTTAGTTACTCATTAGTTTAGAATATAACAATAAATTATTCATCGAGACGAATCAAATATAACCCAACATGACTACGTTATGTTTTATATATTGGGAGTTGTTTAGAAGATTCTCTCATTTTTTGAATAATACAAAAGATTTCAAATGGTAAGAACAAAAAAGGACAGGGAGAAATTTATTATTTAACAACCAACATTAACAATTTGTTAATCAACCTACGATGATACCTTAGGGGTGGTTGTTTGAGAGAAAATTCTGTTCAAGGGTTGTTTGATTAAAGAAAGCGTTATTTAAGGTTGAAGTCTTGGGTGGTTGTGTGAAAACAAAGTAAAAGTAGGGGGTGATATAATTGTTTTTTTAAAATTGGAGTGGTTTCCAGAACAGACTGTTCCACATAGAGGGTGCATTTTGATAAATTTTTCCTACATGTTTATCTGTAGTAATATGCTTAAGACTCAACTATTTGTTATTCTGGCATCCAGATTGGTCTTGTTGAATTGCTGTTTCTGAGGTAGTAATTTTGTGGTTGAGCTCTCTAAAGAACTTATCAATTGTTTGATTTAAGAACTTACATATTTTCTTCTTATTGTGATATATCATCACTATTTTGACAGTGTTACAAAGCTTGAGAGCGAGCTTTGATGAGGCATTAAGAAGAAATGATGTCAAGGCAATTGTAGTTACAGGTAGAGTCATAGTGTCACTCTTCGTTTCACGAATTAGTTGTTGGAGCTCTGACACAATGTACAAAAAAATTAATTTCTTTTCTGTGGCAGGTGCTAAGGGAAAATTTTCTGGTGGTTTTGATATCACTGCTTTTGGTGGAATCCAAAAGGGAAAGAGTATGTCATATTTTTCATGCTCATATTGAAGGATTTGAGATTTGTTTCCTACATTAATAATTAGCCTTTTTAACTTAATTTGTAAACGTTGGCAGCTGAATCACCTAAGCGTGGTTATGTGGCAGTGGAGGTTCTCACTGACATAGTCGAAGGTGCACTCATAGTTTTTAATTTTTTAGGAGCAAATTCAGTTTGAAACAATCTGGGGTAAATTTTAATTTATGTATTGAATAATTTTTGGTGGTGAACAGCTGCAAGAAAACCTTCAGTTGCTGCTATTGACGGCTTAGCCTTAGGTGGAGGTCTAGAGGTTGCTATGGTATGAGACACAATTTTACCTCTTCTAAGATGATTATTAGAAATACTATTGTGCACATGTTTGTTATGTTGCCTTGCGAGAGCTCACTAGTTTTACTTCTTTAACAGGCTTGCCATGCTCGGATATCCACCTCTAATGCACAACTGGGTTTGCCTGAACTTCAGCTTGGAATAATTCCTGGATTTGGAGGTAAATTATCTTCATTATTGCTTGCGAAATGGTATGTTTTGTTCTAGATACTTGTACTTGAAGACCAAGCTGAAATCACTGCCCCTTCCATTTTGTAAACAATAGAATGCCACAATGTCCTCATATCTATCCGTTGCTGAAATAATTAAATGTTCATGACTAATTATTTTGTGCATTTAACTTTTAGCATCTCGAAAAAGATTGCACTGTACATACATATCTACAGATATAGATACAACTAGATAAAGCATTTAATATTCTCCATATTTGAACGCACCAGCAAATGTATGGGCCTGTGATGCAGGGGGGAAGAGTCAATGTAACATAGGTGCTCTTCACTAGCAAGTGGACCCTGATGAGTTTAACTTGGGGTCTACTGACAACCTGTGAATTGTCAGTGGTGGCAACAGGGGAATGCAGGGTGGAGGCTGATAGGGATTTGGGCAACATATTTGGTGCAATATGGAGCCACCTGTTGGTTTTGTCTTTCTCTATTTTTTCTCAAACTTTGTACAATATTTGGGGAATTTCTGATTTTTTTTTCAATTAATGAGTGTGCCCAAAACAATAATTGGAATTAAAATGAAATATTGAAATGGTCTTTAAAGTAACTATGTCAAAAACAATATGATGGCATGTTTATATTTACGTCATTTAAACTTGCAAATGCAAATTCTTGTTTTATTACTGCTATCTGTTTGTGCATGCTGCATGTGATATTAGTTCAATGTAACAATATATCTGGCTCTAGTATTACTGAATGATGGGAAAATTGGTCCAAAAATTTATGCTTTAGATTGTGATGATTTGTGCTACTTTATATTATCTCAATGATCTCAGGAACCCAGCGTCTTCCTCGGCTAGTCGGACTCTCTAAAGCTCTTGAAATGATGCTGGTAATTTATTTATTTTATTATATTATTTAATTTTGTCAAAAAGATTTTGGTATGTGTTTTACTTGTAATATACCAGACATTCAACTTCTTAAGTCAAAATTCATTGTATCCTCTGCAGACTTCTAAGGCAGTCAGAGGTTCAGAAGCCCATGATTTAGGACTTGTCGATGCAGTAGTCCCAGCCAACGAATTGCTTAGTACTGCTCGTCGCTGGGCCCTTGAAATTGTAGAGCGTAGAAAGCCTTGGGTTTCAAGTCTTTATAAGACAGACAAGTTAGAGCCACTTGGAGAGGCAAGAGAGATTTTAAAATTTGCTAGGGCACAGGCCCGAAAGCAAGCTCCAAATCTCAGGCACCCTCAGGTTTGTATAGATGTTATTGAAGAAGGCATAGCTTCTGGACCTCGTGCTGGCTTGTGGAAGGTTTGTATTTCCTCATTTTGATCATTCCTCCAGGTTTTCTATGCACATTTGTTGTACTGAGACAATATTTTTAACTTTAATCTCTGGCAGGAGGCTGATGCTTTTGAAGAACTTCTCCGTTCCGACACTTGCAAGAGTTTGGTCCACATTTTTTTTGCTCAACGAGGAACATCAAAGGTTCATCTTTTCTTTTTTTCTCACTGCTGACCAAGAGTTTGCTTTTGTTCCTTTTAAAACTTGAGACTTTATAACAAAAAATATTACGGGGAGGATAAATTGGCCTCACAAACATGGAAGATGTGATATTTTTTTATTTTCCAAATATCTGTATGCATTCCAGTCTGATGCTTCAGTCAAAACCATCCCTGAATTTAAATCAAGGTCTTCAACTCCAGCTAAACACACATTAAACAAACAGAATTTTATATAATCTTTCATATCATCCAGCATGGCCATAAGTAACAAAACCGTCAGGTTGAATGTCATAAGGGCCATATGGCCCACCCTACAGACCTACACTTACGAGATATACAAAGCATTTGAGTTTCATGTATTTATGTGAACTGTGATTGGAGTTGATGAGTAACTACTCATAATTTCTACCTTTTTGGGACTAAAGACAAACATTAGGAGGAGACCTTAGCCTTCAAATGGAAGTTATTATGTTGGCTTGTGGTAACTTTACTTATTTTATGGGGTATAAAAAGTTAGCCTGACTAGGGTGTCAAGAGTAGAATGTAGGTAGTTTTGATTGAGTGAAGTTTCTCACACATTTAGTAAGTGTAAAAAATTAGCCTAACTAGGTGTCAAGAGTAGAATGTAGGTAGTTTTGGTTGAGTGAAGTTTCTCACACATTTAGTAAACTTTCATAGAAAACAACAATTATAATTAATAAGAATATCATGCTCATCCACCAATAATGGTTTGAATTATTTGTCATCAGTCAGGTAGTTTTGGTTGAGTGAAGTTTCTCACACATTTAGTAAACTGACATAGAAAACAACAATTATAATTTATAAGAATATCATGTTCATCCACCAATAAAGGTTTGAATTATTTGTCATCAATCATATATAATGCGTAGAGTAGTGTGTTACTTAAGTTGCTGGAGAGTGAGACTGACAGTTAGAAAATCATTTTTAAACAGCTAGCTAGCTACACAATATATTCATGTAACTGGTTCCAATTCTTATGTTGGAGTATTTATCTTCTCAAATCTCACTATGGCGTGATTCACTTGAAATCTAAGTTGGAAATAAATAATCTACGTCTTTATGTTTGTGCATGCAAAATCCCGGGAGAGGGGGGAAGGTTTCGGATTTTCGGGTACTATAAGTGAGTTGTAATATCTGCTTAAGAAATGCTGTGCTGGTGTTTCCCTTAGTTCCCTATCTGATTATGCATCTTCCTTGCCTGTGATTGAGTTTACCAAGTATCTCTGAATCCCAGGTCCCTGGTGTGACTGACTTGGGTCTTTCACCAAGACGGATAAAAAAGGTTGCTGTTATTGGTGGTGGTCTGATGGGTTCTGGAATAGCTACAGCATTGATTCTTAGTAGCTATCCTGTTGTATTAAAAGAAGTGAACAATAAGCTTTTAGAAGCGGGTATTGGCAGAGTGAAAGGTATACCATGGATCCTGGAATTACATATTGAGTTTGATTTGTTCTGAGGCTTGATTTTTTCTTGGAATAACACAAACTTTTTTATTTAGCTAACTTGCAAAGCCGGGTCAAGAAAGGGAAAATGACCGAGGAGAAGTTTGGAAAGACCATGTCGCTTATTCAAGGATCTCTGGACTATGACAACTTTAGAGATGTGGATATTGTCATAGAGGTTGCGTGTGCTTTTCGCTGTTCTGCTGATAATTCTTGGTTGAATTAAATATTATTTAAATGTTTGGAACCAAATTCATCTTCTTGCAGGCTGTCATTGAGAATGTTTCCTTGAAGCAACAAATTTTTGCTGATCTAGAGAAGTTTTGTCCTCCGCATTGCATACTTGCAAGTAATACCTCTACTATTGATCTTAACCTTATTGGTGAAAAGACTCGGTCTCAAGATCGAATTGTTGGAGCTCATTTCTTTAGGTGATTATTATGCATTCTTGCCCTCTATCTCTTATAAGACCATCCTTGGCTGTACTTGGTGGACACTCTTGATGTGCCTTTTACCCCTCATCTGTACCTTCATTTTTAATTTAAATACATGATTATTTTGATAATTGCTTGAATTGCAGTCCTGCTCATATCATGCCCCTATTGGAGATTGTCCGTACTCAAAAGACTTCTCCCCAAGTAATAGTTGATGTGCTAGATCTTGGAAAAAAGATAAAGAAGACACCGGTCATTGTTGGAAACTGTACGGGGTTTGCTGTCAATAGAATGTTCTTCCCTTATACACAAGCAGCTATGCTACTTGTTGAGCATGGCACAGATTTATATAAGATTGACAGAGCAATTACAAAGTTTGGAATGCCAATGGGTCCATTTAGGTAAAACATCGTGAAACCTTTTGCACTCTTTTCTGTTTTCTCAACTGGCCATCATTATATGATTTATGTCATTTCAAAAAATTGATCTTTTACACTTTATTACAGATTGGTTGACCTTGTTGGGTTTGGAGTAGGCATTGCAACTGCCATGCAATACATTGAGCATTTCCCTGACAGAACCTACAAATCTATGATTATCCCTCTTATGCAAGAAGATAAAAGAGCAGGTAGCAGTCTTCAATATAGAAAATTTTCATTATTGGATATTGATCTCATGTGCTGAATGGCTTGGATTCTTTTGTTACCTCTCTCTCAGGTGAATCAACTCGTAAAGGGTTCTATCTGTACGATGATAAGCGCAAGGCTAGCCCAGATCCTGAATTAAAGAAATATATTGAGAAAGCAAGGGAAATTTCTGGGATTAGTGTTGATCCTAAGGTTTGAATTTTGTGATTTTTATTACCATCTGGATTACTAACTATGAATGTTTGGTATATTTCTAGTGTGGTTCCCTATTTTTGCAGATCCACTTTTTTCGTAGGAATATTAAAGTAAACTTGTACTTAGATGTATATTGAATTACAAAAAAGTAATGCATGTAATGTAAGTGACTTGTATGTTATGCTTTCCATTATTTTCTGTGAATCTTCTCTATGCATGACTGCATGCTCGTCCGAATAGGTAGCTACTGTCAGTCAATCAGTATCAACTTTCAATTTCACAAGTGTATGAAATTTAAAGCTTATATTTATTGACTGACACTTATGGTATGAAGGCTTTAAGTGATTGACAATTTAAGCCAATTTAAGGCTTTGATGATTGACAATTTATGGGATTAAGGCTTTGTTTGATTGACTGACAATTTAAGCCAATATTTATCGGTGTCAACTTTGAATTTCACAAGTGTATTACTTTTGGTTCATGTAGCTGACCCCATTTATGGGATTAGGGCTTTGATTGATTGATTTATTAAGCGACACTGGCAACCTATTCAGAAGAGCAAGAATCATTGATTGTTATGTAAACAAACAACTTTGTTGACAGAGTAAATTCATTTAGCTGCTATACTGGGCCAGGAATGTGCCAAGAGATGGCACATTGTTTGATATTCTTGATGCCACAACCTGGAGATCTGAGCAGGCTCCTGGGCTTTTGGATATCTTTCGTCATTGGCATGTTTTGTTAAAAAAAATAGCTACTTACTTTTTGCTGTTGACTATTTGATGCTATCCCTGTTAATATTGAATGCTGTTTATTTCTGTCCCTCGCTGAGTTACAAATTATTAAGCCAATTTATATACCCTCTCTCATTGAACTCTGTTTACAGATAGCAAACTTACCTGAGAAGGACATAACAGAGATGATATTTTTCCCTGTTGTCAATGAAGCTTGCCGAGTCCTGGCAGAAGGAATTGCAGTGAAAGCATCAGATTTGGATATTGCTGGTGTCATGGGCATGGGGTTTCCCCCATACAGGTCTTGTCTTTTGGTTTCATGAAAATGAAATGTTTTTAAGTTCTAAGTTTGATTCTGTATGCATTTTGAGTTTATCTATAAAATACTAAAATGAAATGTTTTTAAGTGTTGAAGTTTGATTCTGTACAAAGTTTTGAGAGACTTGGGAAAATGGAAACTAATATCATGTTCAATCTGACTTCAGAGGCGGAATCTTGTTCTGGGCCGACATGCTGGGATCTAAGTACATTTATTCTAGGCTGGAGGAATGGTCTAAACAATACGGAGGGTTCTTCAAGCCTTGTACATACATGGCTGAGAAGGCTGCCAAGGGGGCTCCACTGGTAAGAAATTTCTCATCTGTACCAAGGAATTCCTCCTTTAACTGCAAATTGGTGATGTGCTGTTTTGTAACAGTTTGATGGTGGTTTGCATGTATCAATTGTTCGAAGTACTTCTTCCTCTGTTTTTTTAGATGCATCACTTTTAAACTTAGGGTCTCCTAGGCATTTTTAAGAAGAGAGAGAGAGAAAAAAATATAAAGGGCCCATGTGGTATAAGAAAGATAGAGATAATTGATTAACTAAAAAGGAAAGTGATGCATCTAAATTCAAACTTCCATTTATAGAGAGTAATGCATCTAAAAAAAAAGAGGAAGTAATATTTTTACTACCTTTCTTTTGATTTTAGTTGTGACATGTATTGTTCTTTTTCAATTGAGCTGAGACATTACACACTTTCCATTTTTGGTTATATCTTTTAATTCGTTATACTGCTATAGTGCTATATACTGATGCAGTCCTGCTGCTGTGAATAATTTATGGAGCTTTATCTTTTTTAAGGCACTAGTTTGTGATTAATGGTAATAACATATTCTGCTCTTGTTGGTTTTTTGTAGAGTTCTGGACCAATGGAACAAGCTAAATCGCGGATGTAAAGCAGAACAGATTTGGACGTGGCTGATTGGATTCTCTCTGTTTATCATACCACACTTCAGCATCCATACATAAGGTTGTTTGGACCATATGCAACAAGAAAATAATCTCTTGGGAGGTTCTCTGGAATAAGAATTAGGTAGAGATGCATATTAATCAAGATTTGTGAGGCTAAAGAGTCCTTTATGATACAAAGCTGTTATTATATGCCTTATAAAACATAATATATTCGATAGCTAATTAAGTCATTATATTGTAACTTTGTAAGAAGCATATGTGACTTGGTTAACAATGCATTTCAAAGATTGTAGTTTCAGATAGAAGTCATGAAGTTGGACTCTTTGTGCTCAATTCTTGTGTCGGTATGCTTAAGATGAAAATTATAATAAGTGGTTGTAAATATGATAAACATATCCACTTAATTTTTTTTTTTTTTTTTTTTTGAAGCGATATCCACTTAATTTTGAATTACAAATCAAATTAGAAAATGGAAAAGATAAATGCCTAGAAACTAGATTTGCATATTTAAGTACACTAATGAAATTGTTAAGCAAAACTAGATTTCAATTACGGAATCATGTAATATTAAATGCTACTCCTTCTATTTCAAAATTCATGTTTAATTCTATCATATTTCATTATTAATTTGGTCACTATTAGGTTTAGTTCACTTTACCTCATTTTTGCTAAACTGAAATTATTTTTACTAAATTAAACTTATTATTGCTGAGCTTAAATTATTTTTATTGAATTGAAACTAATTTCAATTAATTGCAATTGTTTTTACTGAATTGAAATTATTTAACCGATTCTCCAATATATTTTTACATTAAAGTTACTGATTTTTATAAAACAGAAATTATTTTAACTGAATTGAAAGGTTTTTTTGCCAAACTGAACTGAAATTATTTTTAATAAAGATTTTTTTTAAGGTGAAGTGAATAGGGCTTAATTTTTAACTTATCCATATAATTTACAATACGGAGTCGTATATTAAAAAAAAAAAATAACAAATAAACTTGAATATGTTTGCCATTAGATAAAAATTACAAAAACTAAAAAAAGACATCCGTCTACTTGAAACAAGCAATTATAATAGCAAGACAAAAGGTGATCCGTAAATTTCTGTAAATTTCCAGCAATATTCATTTCTGTTAAATATCTTAAAACCTCACTTTTTACTTGAAATTTATTTTTTATCATACTAATCCTATATTCAAGTTCTTTTTTTTTTTTTTTTTTTTTTTTTTTTTTTTTTTTAATTTTGCGGCTACCATCTTTTTCCTCATCCAAATTTCTCCTTTAAAACAACCAACTTTTTTAAGTGTGTTTTTTTCTCCTTCAAGCATTCAACTTAAACCCAAATAAATTTCCTCCCAAATAATGGATTCTGGGTAGTTTCACTCTTTGGGAGCCTAGGTAAGAACATAACTCGATCTACAAACTCTATTACCTCCTCGCTCTTAATTTATTTGCCACATTACCAGTTTAAATTACGCCATCTTTAATTTCTATCAGTGCATGTAATAACTCATTCGAATCAAACGAATGGTTGGGGGTTGTACATTGATATGTCTCTAAGCAACATTTTCTCTTATTTGCAAAAAACTTGTGTAGAGCGATGAATCATTCAACATGATTATTCTCTTAATTTTGTTTTGTTTTAGCATCTATTTTGTCAGTGTTGCAGTACGTCTCTCCTGTGTAAGCTCTTAATAATGCATTAATTCTTATATATATATATATATATATATATGTTTAATACATAGTAGATTTAATCATTGGTAGATTTCATTAACAATGTTTTGTGTATTTAATTTGTGCAAACCAACGTTTTATAGAATAGTGAAGAACAAATCGACAGAAGAATTTGAAAGCCTACCATACATATGCAGTCTTAAACTCGTGCTTATGGACTTACTACGGCATCATTAAGCCGGATTCGTTTGTTCACATTGCCAATGGATTTGGAGCTGCCCTCGAAGCTATTTATGTGCTCCTTTTCATCCATTATGCACCACCTAAAAAGAAGTTATGTACTATTTTAATTTCTTAAATCTTTGCGAATAATTTTTTTTTTTTGGTTTAAAAAGAAAATTGATTTTCTTATCGTTACAATTTTCACATAAGTCATGAGTGTTTCTAGGAATATGTAATTTCCTTTTCTTATTTACATTTTTGAAATAAATTAAATGAGCTCATTTTTTTTAGAAGTTGGTTAGATAGTCTTGGGAGTTAGCTAGCTAGGCTTATCGCCTTTATGCATGGTGAATTGTTTTCTATCATTACTTCCTCCATCGCATTTATGTTATTTATATTACTCACTTTGATCATATTTCGTACGTCATATATATATGAAGATGTTTCCATTTTTTGTTCCCCTACGAAGTGTATGTGTACGTAAAATAGAGCATTATATATCTCCCTACGTTACAAATTCCAAACAGCATTGAACTTATAACGTCGACTGTTGCAGGCAAGAACAGCCATTATTGCTATCATACTAAACGTAGGCATATTCGGTGGGGCGGTGCTGGCAACATATTAAGGAGTGAACGACCGATTTCGTGCACAAGTAGTAGAGATGTTGTGTTTAACCCCAATGGTTGCTATGTATGCTTCTCTTCTTGCTGTTTTGGTGAGTTTATGACAAAACATATATGTTGACTCTTTTTAGCACATTCATTTTCCATCTTTCACTCTCTCGATAATTTTATCCTCCACTTGATCATATGTAGGCCATTCTATTCCTAGCTGCTATCATTAGTTGGTCCGAATTTCATGGACCTTAATTGATGCATATTACTATGCCATGCGCAACTAATTTGCAAAAAATTTCAACTCCCACCAACTAATAGGCACATCATGTTTTAAATCATGAGTAATAGTATATACCCTCTAATTTATTGATCAATTGGTTATTTGGTGAAATAATTTTTATACTCCATACTAACGTTATATTTAAATTTTTTCTATCATTGACACTAAATAGCTAATACGTAGTAATAAAAATAAATTTGTGATTGACACATTAAACCTTATGTTATTATATAATCACATATGTGAGTTGTTTAATATTGGTGATGGAGACTTATAATAATTATACTTACAAAGTTTGAAGCCAAAGTCGTTAATTATTCATTACTAAGGACCAAACCTTTTTTTGGGTGGTAAATGGTCCAAACTGTCCTTCAACTTGTTGAGATTAGACTTATCAGTTTCTAAATAGTCTCAACTTTAAATTTCGTACTCAATGAATAAAGGACAAATTCGTTTTTTTTTTAATTTTTTTTTTAACTGTAAAGGCAAGCTAAATAGCTAACAACCTAATTAACATGCATGTTCAATATCTAATTTGGTAAAACACTAACTACACCTAGTTGTCCAAAAAAAAAAACAAAACAAAAAAAAAAAGATATAAAATCCACGAGCATATATATATTTTTCCCACTTTTTTGTTCCCACATTAATCATTGCTTAATTTTACCAATTTACGTAGTGTTAGATAATAGAGTAGTGCTTTAAAGTTTAAACTTGGATTTGGGTTTAAATGGAATTATGCATGGCCAAATGGTCCAATATATACCTCCTGATACGTACGTTGTGTGGGAAGTCTGGGCTCTACCGCTCTACGTCAATATCTATTCTACGTCGAATCATGATTATGAAATGATATTGACGACATAAAACACCAATAATTGAGGTTAGATTAATAAGGTTGCAATTATTGAATGGGGGATATCAATGTAATCAATCGATTATTGGCAAATTGCTTGCAACTTACTAATAATGACAAGATGTAGTGACTGGAATATGAATGGGATTAGATTAGATAGGTCTCCATCTTTTTACCCCTTAGCCACTTACGTTGTTCTTCTTGTACGTTTTTAGGGTTAGAGTCAAGTTGACACATCAATATCATAGAAAAATGGATGTAAGAATTTAAAGCATGCATCAACTTGCTTAATAAAGAAAAATGATTGCCAACTTGTCTACTTGTGCAAATAAACTATTTCAGACAATTTTACCATGGGGCTTAACTTGTCCGAGGAAGCCCCACTTTATCACATTAATAAACTTATTTGCTCATTTAGTATGACATTCTCGTAATTATAACAATACTTGTGAAACCCATTTATAATAATAAGTTGTTAATATAATTACAGGTTTACCACTTGATTAACATATTTTGTTAATCAAGATGATAACTTGTATTTCCTTAACTTGCATGTCTAGGAGGGGTGTCATTTATAAAAGTCATGTTAAGATAAGTTGACACTTCAAGTTTGTTAGTTATAAGAAAGTTCAATTCTTTCTTTGTGAACATGTACTTTATATTTTCTTACCACCTCCGTTTTTTATTATTTGCAATAAGAGGGTATTATTTATAAGAAGAAACGGAGGTAGTACTTAAATAAGAATGTATAAATTATATCCAACAAATTGTTGTTTCTCGTGTTATTTTATATTTAAGTTGGTTTGCAAGCTTTATTTGAAATGTTGCATGTGACACCATTCCACTGGCAGCAATCTGTGCTTTGATTCCAAGCCACTAGCTTGTCTAAAGCATCGGGAGCAAATGTAAGATTGTGCTTCAACTCAAGAAGTAAAGACTTTTGATCATCTAGACATTGGCAAGAAATAAAAGGTGTACAGCAGCAAGTGCATAGCCATACAATTAAGATCAAGGGAAAAGGCCAAGAAGAAGAAATGAGTGGAATTATTTTCATTTTGTATATATATAGAGTGAAGTTATATGTGAGATACTTGAAATGTATGGGTACTAAATGAAACCATGCATTGTTGGACTGTTGGTATTTATAGTATACAAGTTAACTAGAAGAAGGCCATTATTTATACTGATCGATATAATTGAACATCATTTTTTGAAAATTAAACTAGACTTTTTGACTTGGAAATCTTTAGTTGTACATGAATCTCTTTTCACGATGTTTCCATGGAAATCAATGGTACATTATTTTATTGCTAGCCAATTACAACAAATTGTTTAACTAATAATAATTGTATATAATATTAAAGAGTTGATATGCCAATCAATGTACTCCATATTGGAAGGATAAGCTTTGATTTTGTGTATGAACGTATGATGTATCAGACAGACTATCAGTACTCTTATAGATAAGCTTTGATTTTGTGTTAGTAAACTAAAAGAAGGAAAATGTTTAATTTCGTCATGCTGATTAAAAACATATAAATTTTATGATCGTATATATGAATGAAAGAAATTTATACATTCATTACTATTCCTTCTAATTTTTAAGTGCTAGGCCCTATTCACTTTACTTTTATAAAATTGTTTAGTAAAGATAATTTAAGTTTATTAAATTTAATTTCACCTTAATAAAAATAAGTTTAATTAGCACTAGGTCTTAAGACTAAAGGTAACATCATCAATTTTTAATTTTGTGGTCTTAAGATAAGACTTTATTTATTTTATGGATTTATGAAGTTTGGTCTTAACAAAATTTGAAGTGGAGTCTTGAAAATTCAAGACTCAACTAAACACTTAATTAACTTCTTTTTTTTTTCAATTTAAAAAAATATTAATAATTCGATTTATATGAAAAAAACTGAGTCCGATGGATGAAGAGATAAATCTAGTTGAGTCTTAAGGAGTCTTAACATAATTATAAATTTTTTAAAAAAATTAAATTTAATAATGACTGATCTGGCAATGGATTAAAGTCTTAAGATAAGATTGCGCTAATCTTGCTCTTAGTAAAAATTAGTTTAGTTTCGTAAAAATCATTAACTCTAAAGAAGAACAAATAATAGAGGATTAGTAAACATGATTTTAGTTTAGTAAAAATAATGCCAATTCAATAAAATTAGTTTCTTATCAGTAAAAAATTTTATGTTCGGCAAAAATAATCTCAGTTTAGTAAAAATAAATTCTATTCAACAAATATAAGATAAAATGAGTCGGCCTTACACTATTCTTTTACGACTAGTTTTTTAAATTGTTACACTTCCTTTTTTAGCAACCTACTCCAATTAAATATTACAGAATAATTATCTCTCTTGTAATGGTCTGCACTCTAACCTACTAATGTGGTGTTGTTGTCGTTGTTGTTGTTGTTGTTATTAAAAAACAAAAGAATTATTATTATTATTATTATTATTATTATTGTTAACAAAACAAAGTCAATCAATTTACAAGAAATTAGTGGGAAGCTGAGCCACAATGTGGGCCCCCACTTCTCTAGCTATAGCGAATCCAATACTGCTGAAGATGCGAGCAGCTGCATGAACACCTATATCCTGAGTCCTTGCGGACGCCTGAACCCGCTTCAGCAACACAACAACATCCTTCTCTAATTCCCCAAATGAAGAAAAGGAGAAGGGAAGAAAACCATAGTCAATAGCCCTACAACGCGCCCCATACTTGTCCCGTTTCCGCTGAGCAGCAACCCACACAACACGACCAGGAACAAAGTCAGACAACCCTGATTGTGTTAAAGGAGAAGACCCCGTCAAATCAACACACACATTAAGGCCTCTATCCCAAGAATAAAGTTATACATCTGCAGGTCAAAGAGCCCCATCGTTTCCTCCAGTCAAACCAACGTTAACCTCTTTTCTTGCAGAAATCCCAGACCGAAAACAAATATCTACAAGGGTGTTGCGAACGACATTATGCCGGTGTTTAATACCCACCATCCTAGCACAAGACATTACATGATCTCCAAATATATCCCCATCGAAAACCCTTGAGTAAGCGGAACACGATGCCGAAACCGAGAACAATTGAAAACCCAATCAGTAGCAAAGAACAGAACGGTAAGCTTTAATAATAATAATAATAATAATAATAATAATAATAATAATAATAATAATAATAATACGAAGGGAGTTATTCTCATCCCGATGCACGTACAAAGAAGACAAAAATTCGAGGGTAAGCCTCTTGTAAGTGAGAGCATGCATGGTAAGGAAAGAATCAAAGTTGGTAAATGAAAATAGTTGAACCATGTCGCTTTCGATCCCTAGAGCCCTAGCGGCTAAAGGGTCGTAGAACTTGGTAGGCCGGATCGGTCGGTGGGATAATCCTACAAATTTGTCCAAAAAGGACGGGTTATTAAAAACAATACCCATGGTGTCCACCGTGGGTGGAACCATGGATGAGGATGCATCGTCCCGACCCGGTCTCCTAGTCGATGTCTTTGTTCTAGGCATGTTTGATTCAAGAAATTAAGCACAATATACCAATTAACAAGCAAGAAACTATCCTAGCATGCAATGTACTGCCCTAACACTACTAGTTCACCCAAACTTGCAACAATAAAGCACAATTCAACAACAAATATTCAATAAAACTAATGAAATTGGACAAAAATTGCGAAATTCAATGAGTTTAAGAACGAATTCACCGAGGACTCCACGAAGTGGAGTTGTGGCGAGCTCAAAGAGGGCCGAATTTTGCGTCCAATCACTTGAAAAATGCTCCAATGCAAGGAGGGTGCCGAGATCTTGAAAGAAGAATATGGGGAATTAGGGTTTGATTTGAGGAATTGAGGGAGGAGGTTGGGGGTTTGGGTTAGTTTAGAGAGAAAAAGGGTAGGAAAGAGTGTTAGAGAGTTGGGGAATAATGAGAGAGTTTGAGTGAAATCGTGTTTAAAAAAACACGAAAAACTATCCGGAACCCGCGCTGCACGGCCGTGCTATAACTGGCACGGTCGTGCTTAGGTTTGGCACGGCCGTGCCAAATTTGGCACGGCCGTGTTGGCTTGGCAGGCTTTTTGCGAAATTGAATTTCAGATGGCACGGCCGTGCTAGAATTAGCACGGCCGTGCTATTACTTGACACGGCCGTGCTGAAAATGGCACGGCCGTGCTAGAATGGCAGTGGGCTTTTGAGGTTTGGCACGGCCGTGCAGATTTTGGCACAGCCGTGCTAGATTCTGGCACGGCCGTGCTGTCTGATGGCACGGCCATGCTGTCTGCTGCAGTCTGCAGGTTTTCTTTTCCTTCAAGGCACGCATCACTCTCTTCATTCCGACTTCTAACCAATCTTCTACCTGCACAAAAACACACAAGAGCACACAAAACTCACACAAATTAGGAGCTAAACCAACTACAAAACAAAAGAAACTACTCTAGTAAAAGCAAGAAAATCGGGTTGTCTCCCGGAAGCGCTAAGTTTAACGTCGATAGCTTGACGTGGTCACATTCAACTCTTGTGACCGCATTCGAACACATCTATCACACCAACATGGGCTCCCTCATAGTATGTCTTCAACCTTTGCCCATTAACCACGAAGGATTGCAACCCACTAGAATCATAAAGCTCAACCGCACCGGAAGGGAAAACATCTTTGACAGTGAATGGACCCCTCCATCTTGACATCAACTTACCGGGGAAGAGCTTCATCCTAGAGTTATATAAGAGGGCTTTGTCACCAACATTGAACACCTTCCGCTCTATCTTCCGGTCATGGAACTCCTTAGAACGGGACTTGTATAGGTTCGCATTGTCATATGCGTCCATCCGAAGCTCCTCCAATTCATGAAGGTCCAACATCCGTTGCTCTCCCGCGCTTGCTAGATCAAAATTTATCTTCTTGATAGCCCATTGAGCGCGGTGCTCTAGTTCGACCGGGAGGTGACATGCTTTCCCGTAGACCAAGCGGTATGGGGTGGTGCCTATTGGGGTCTTGAAAGCAGTTCGGTATGCCCAAAGTGCATCATCAAGCTTATCGGACCAATCTTTCCTATTCTTCGCCACTGCCTTCTCAAGGATGGACTTTATCTGTCGATTGGAGACTTCCACTTGCCCACTAGATTGAGGGTGATAGGTTGTCCCGAACCTTTGATGTACTCCATTCTTTCGAAGCATCCTTTGAAAGGCCCCATGCACAACGTGTGACCCGTTGTCACTTATAACCGCCCTAGGAACCCCGAACCTTGGAAATATAATCTTCTTGAAGAGTTTCACCACCACCTTGTGATCATTTGTAGGGGAGGCAATTGCTTCCACCCACTTAGACACGTAATCCACAACCACAAGTATGTATTGGTTCCCACGGGAGGAAGGGAAGGGTCCCATGAAGTCAATGCCCCACACATCAAAGATCTCAAGTTCAAGTATGGGTTTATTGAGGCATTTCATTCTTCTTGGAAATGTTTCCACTCCGTTGGCAAGCATCGCAAGTCTTCACAAATGCCCACGCGTCCCTAAAGATATGGGGCCACCATAGCCCACATTGCAAAACCTTTTGGGCTGTCTTATTAGCCCCCATGTGACCTCCGCAAGGGTCGGAGTGGCACATTTTCAGCACACTATGAACTTCTTCCTCCTGAACGCACCTTCTTAGGAGACCATCTACACCTCTCTTGAACAAAATTGGATCATCCCATATGTAATGCCTTGCATCTCTCCTAATCTTCTTCCGTTGGTTCTTGGAGTAATCGGGGGGAAACTCCTCACAAGCCAAGTAGTTTACCAAATCCGCAAACCATGGTAGAATCTTCTCCTTGCGGAGGTATAAAACATCATCCTTCAACTCATCACAAATGGGCAGCCCATCATCTTCTTGTTGCTCCCTCTCCATGCACGAAAGGTGATCCGCAACCACATTCTCGGCTCCCTTCTTGTCCCGGATCTCCACATGAAATTGTTGTAAAGAGAGGACCCATCGGAGGAGGCGTGGTTTGGATTCCTTCTTCGAAATTAGGTACTTGATTGGCAGCATGGTTGGTATAAACAATCGTTTTGGAACCAATGAGGTAGTCCCAAAATTTCTCAAATGCATGAACAATGGCTAGGAACTCTTTCTCTGTAGTGGTGTAGTTCCTTTGTGCTTCATTTAAGGTCTTGGACATGTAATAGATCACATGAACCCTCTTCTCAACTCGTTGCCCAAGAACACCTCCAATAGCCGTATCACTAGCATCGCACATCAACTCAAAAGGTAGATCCCACCGTGGTCCTTGCACAATCGGTGCCGAAATCAAAGCTTTCTTAAGTGT